TTAAACCAGTAAATCTGTCTAACTGGAGAAGATACATAATCACCACTTCTATCCAGATATCGTCAGTAAAATTACCGAGGACCCAATCGCTATGTTAACATCAAACAGTCTGAGCTTGAGAGTAATGTATCAACTTGTCAGCTTGAGACTGATTATGTACTAAATTAGTCACATCCTATGTTCGTAATTTATGTTGAAGTTAGGGAGAGGGATAGGAAATTAGATATTCATTTAACAGAAGTTTGGAGAAACATCAGTAGTAGTATGGCAGACTGAGAACCATTCCCCATATTCAAATAATCGACTCAAAGCCTTGGATGAATCAATATGTAAAAGCAGGACTGATTAGAAATGAATTGCTTTCTTTTTCTAGCAAAATGAAAAGCAAACAACAGATGACACAAGAATAAACATACCTGGGCCTAGATAAGGAAGAATTTTCTTTTTCAAATTTGCCCATATCAGTAATGAAACGAAAATATGATGAAACTGAAGTGCAACTGATGCTAACTGTTGAGGCAACTAGTTAAAAATATTTGTTTGTGGATTCAGAAAACTACTTTGAAATAAACATTTTAACTGTTGATATAAAAATAAAAATACTAGTTGCCGTTTCATTTGAACTCAGACATAATTTTATCACTTGCTATCAATCAAGACAAAAGAAAGGCGACAGGATCTGACCACTACTAGATGTATTTGTTAGAACTTGTGGGTTTGTGCCCTATTAATATATAACGTTGTGATACCGCCAGTGATTTATCGACCGGCGCAACGACGCATAAAACCCTTACGAGTAGTCTGGAGTCTTTACCGGTCCTGCTTCAAGCCTAGCCCTGTCTGTTGAGTCCATAATATCAATCTCAGCCTTCGCGATATGAATCATTTATTTCAAACAGACTGGGTTCATAAACCAACCAAACAGACCACATCGTGCCATAATATAGAAAATAACATATGTACATGATATAGCTAAAAGTGGCTGTGAATGTGGGAGACGGTAATTACTAAACTGGGCATAACTCAAGAATGGTAAATCGTAAGTCAAAATAAAGCTTTTAATAAGAGGAACACGAATATGCATAGTTTAGTTACTTAACGATTATACGAAATCAGATCTAGGTTAAGAAAAAGTCTAGGGAACACAAGACAGCTTTACAGACTAATAATACAAACTGGAATTAATAAGTCAAGTGTAAGTGAGATTATATCGGAAAAAGACGATACTCTCATCTGCTCCCAGTTCAGACGTTTAGAACGATGGGCGGAACATTTCAGAGAACAGTTCAGCTGGCCTTCAGCTACTCTACAACTACCCTCCATTCCCAGACAGTGTGAATGGAACATTGAAGTAGGTCCCCCAACTCTTGCTGAAGTTCAAAAGGCTATAGTTAATCTGAAACGAGGAAGGGCAGCTGGTCCAGATGGACTGGCTCCAGAGGTCTTTAAGGATGGTGGTCCAATTTTAGCGATTAGGTTGACTAATATTTTAGCTAGGATCTGGGAGTTAGACGTTACCCCATCTAACTGGTCACAATCACTTATCGTCCCAATATATAAAAAAGGGTCAAAATCATCCTGTGACAACCACAGAGGGATTAGTTTAACTAATATAATATCTAAAATACTAGCCTCGATAATTATCAGACGCCTAACTAAGACTCGTGAACTGCAAACACGAGAGACTCAAGCTGGCTTCAGACCTGGTCGTGGCTGCATCGACCACATATTCACCGTTCGTCAGATTTTAGAACACAGGCATACTTATCGACGTCCGACAATGGTGGTCTTTCTCGACTTAAAAGCAGCATTTGACTCGGTAGACCGCGAGATTCTGTGGTAGTGTCTGTCATTGAAAGGCGTACCCCAGAAGTACATAAACCTTGTGAAAGCTCTTTACTCGAACACTACTAGTCGAGTCAGAGCTTATGGCGAAATGTCATCTACTTTTGCAACCTCAAGTGGTGTCCGTCAAGGCTGTTCACTTTCCCCATTTTTGTTTAACTTCATCATAGATCTACTGATGGAAATAACTTTCTCGTCGACTGAGTTCTCGGGTATTGATCTCCATCCAGGAGGTCCACTTATCAATTTAGAATACGCAGATGACATAGTCCTGTTTGGTGAAGACGCTGACAAAATGCAGAGTCTTCTGGTAGCACTAAGCAACAATGCCAGAATGTTTGGAATGCGCTTCTCTCCCTCGAAATGCAAGTTGTTGCTTCAGGACTGGTCTGCGTCAACACCTGAACTAAGGATAGGGAGTGAAGTAGTCGAACCCGTCGACAACTTCACTTATCTTGGAAGTTTAATCAGCCCTAATGGGTTGGTGTCTGATGAAATCTCAGCACGGATTCGAAAAGCTCGTTTGGCTTTTGCCAACTTGCGTCACCTTTGGCGAAGGCGAGATATCCGTCTATCAATAAAAGGACGGGTATACTGCGCGGCAGTCCGTTCTGTTTTACTTTACGGTAGCGAAACATGGCCCTTAAGAGTAGAAGACACTCGTAAGCTATTAGTATTTGACCACAGATGCCTCAGAAATATTGCTGGCATCTGCTGCGATCACCGGGTAAGTAATAATGAGGTTAGATGCAGGGTATTAGGGAATGATGGTAAATCAGTTGATGAGGTTATGAATCTTCATCGACTGAGATGGTTGGGCCACGTGTTACGTATGCCTGAACACCGACTACCACGACGTGCAATGCTATCCGGTATTGGAGATGGTTGGAAGAAAGTTAGGGGCGGCCAAACCAAAACGTGGCATCAGTGCTTGAAGACACTAACTTCTAGTCTGAGCCATGTTGGTAGATGCAGACTACTTGGTTGGGGTCCGCGTGACTTTCGTAACCAATGGTTGGAGACTGTGGGTGACATGGTACAGAATCGATCACAATGACGTAGGTGTATATACTCCCTATCTTCCCTTAAACTAAGAGATTAAAATTGCTTCATATCTTTCCTTCTACGAACCAATTTTTTCTTCTTGTACTATATTTCTATATGCAATCTTTCTCATATATATTACCACCTTTGACCTAACCACTGCTGTGAATCCGGTGTTCATCTTGTTGTGCTGATGCGGTATGGCAACCTGGACTGATGCACATATGTGCCTGGTCCTACTTTGTAGCTGACTGACTGACTAACGATTATACGATAAAAATATACGTATAGTATAGATCTCAACAGTTACCATTGATTATTCTCATTGGGATATAACAGTATTTATAAAATGTGTCGTATGTAAAAAGCTACGTGAGTGTTCATTGTTGTTAAATAAATGGGTCAGCAAATCTATGGAAAGTTGAGATTAGTCAAGACAGCATCAAAAGTCAACTTTCGATATAACATACAGAGAAACAATGATGTTTCCACATTTACGTGCTTCCGTTTACTAAGCACAGAAGAGGTAATATCTATTGAAGATTGCAAACCGGAAAACTTAAACATAAGAAAAGTCTTTTTTTTTTAATTGTCAGTTCTACCTAACACACGCTTCCAAAAATCGTGATTTACTTTGCTGATAAATACAGTCATTTGTACTTTTATTTTTATTGATACTACCGATTGTTTATTTACGATACTTCTAAATGTATAAAAATATTCTTAGCCTCCCTTTCTTTACCATGTAACATAAACAATTCTTCATAAAACGAACTACGATGACTGCATAAATATTGTTAAATGTAATTGTAAAGCTAATACGAAAAATGTTTTGTTGAAAATGTTCATCAAATAATTTTTTTCCATTTCGCTTGACCAGTAGTTTCCAAAACAATGGATCGTTCAAATTATTACTCTACATCATGTGCAAGGGATTTTTTAGTAGAGGGAGTTATGTAGGAAAAATTGGAATACATATGTTGACAAAGTATTTACATATTTTAGTTAGACTCTTAAGCTTAACGGTTGGGATTCAGTGGAAAAATTAGAAGTCAATGGTGAAGCTAGAGAAGTAAATATTTCATTCGAAAGAAAAATTGAGGGTAAATTTCAATATTTTGACGGAAACCAGAAAAGAATAGAGGACTTTAAGGTGAAATCTTACTGTGTTATTGCTATTAAATTATTAACCGAGTGTTTCTGAACCATTTATTCCAATACTGAGAAACATTTTCCACTTTGATAACATCACCCTCAGCTGTTCTAAATAAGCTTCAATAAGTAGGAGAGCTCAAATGCCTCCATCTGTTTGAGTTATCTTATTGGGAAAGTTTTATAAGGTAGTTCTAGACTAATTACTAGTCTCTTGCAAGCATTTTAACCTTAACCGTTAAGAAGTAATGAAAATAAGATTTTAGAGTCCACTATTGTGTTTCAGTAGTTTTGTAATCTAGTTATCCACATGGCACAAACAGAATTAACCACCGTATAGGGGAAGTTGTGACAACTTCAAGTATGTTTCTAAACATTCTTTACGCTCCAAATAATCAGCCCACAGAAAAAACATACTTGCGTTCATGATATATACATGCTACGAAATGGCGCACGACCACCAAGAACATTTCAATATTCTAATCTAACCGACATGCTGACTGGTATCTGGTCGATGTTAGCTGAGTGGAACCAGAAAGTGTCCGACTGCTACATGATGATATCACATTACATATAGCGATAAATTTACGCATTCTTCAGGATAACTTTCAATTCTACACGAACAAAGCTTAATAATAATTTACTTAAAACTGATAAGTATTACATAGACCTAAAGTAAAACAGACCCTCAATAAAAATAAGTAACAAAGTGATGAAAAAATAACAGGGTCTCCGGTACTTCGAAGAAATTAAGGTATTTAGCCCAGATGAACCATATGCACAAACTTCGAATCATTAGTTTAAATGATTAACTGATGTTAGTAACCAAAATAAACATTCACTTTGTTCCGCTCACTGTAGATTGTAGCTATAAATAGATGAAATCCACCAAAACTAATTTTGCCGTTACAAATCTAAACTCAACATATTAATATATCTTTATTTCTAGAACTTTGCTTCGTCCACTGGACAGTTCCATACATTATCATTATATATAATATTTTCGCAATTTTTATAACTTAAAAGAATTCTGTTACCAACCAATTGAAGTGGACAGTTTATAATGTCTATCGACTAGAAGACGGATAACTTTGAATAATAACAATCAGGATACGAACTGTAATTTGAGTCTGCTCTAACTAAGGAATTATTGTAAGGAAAGCATAATCTAATTTCTTTGAATGATTACATCTAAAAATAGATGAGAAGCAGAAAAAAATGTCGATATTAATTATTGTTTAATAGAATCTGATACACCGTCTTTATACTTTGTGAAACACAATATATTAAAATCTGCATGAACAGATAGGACTAATCAATAAACACACTGGAGAAATGTTTAAAACTTGGTTATTCATCGAAAAAACAATCGTGTATGGTCATTAAATTCGTATTCGTCCAACATGATCATGAAACTCGCTGTTTATGAGAGCTTACAAGAAAACTTTTATGTGGGAAAAAATGGTTTCGTAGAAGCGGTTCATGATATATTACTTTGGCGAATCTTTATCGTGAAGAAATTCTTTGGGAAACTACTCTGTGTAGGAATTACAATGAAATGAAGAGCACTGTAAAAGTAAAAAACACAAAATTGTTTTGTATAAGAAAAAGTCATACGATGTGTGAATTATTATAATTACTAGTTCAAAGTATGAAATCGGGAAATAGGGTTGAAACGCTTGATATATACTAAGAACATTGAGGCGGCCTGCTTGAGCATCTGAGCTACCTGTTCCTGCGATCTAGATATTTCAACAAGTTATCTATTGTTGTTTGTTTTAATATATCATTATGTTTATTAATCGCATAACCTATTCTGCTGCGTTTCTGAAAAGTGTACAACCTTTCGTTGTCAAAGTTACAAAAAACTCAATAAGAGACAATATGGTTGCTGGCAATGTACAACGAAAAGAATGTACATTATTCAGTTGTTCATTCACTGAAGTGCTAACATCTAACTGGCGATTCCTCAATATTTATCGCCAGGACCGACCAAGAAGAAAGAAACGGAAACTTGTTGAAATACTTTGCGCTGAGAATTCTATATTGTACCAAAATTATAATATTGAATAAAGCTGATAATAATAATAAAAAGTAAATAAATTTCAAGAAACAAAAATAACTTCGGGCATATGTACTGGTCGATGTAGCTTTTGTAAGAATTCGATGTCACTCAAGGGAGGGGTATTGTATTCCTGAGTGAATAGAAGATTTCCTTCATGGAGAAAAAGTTACTTACGAGCACTGGAGCTCCAGATGGTAAACTTGTTTAGTATATCACGTGCACAAACACAAAAACTTAGTAAATATAATAAATAAAATGAAAGCAATCATAAGTTATCATATCTACGAAAGAAATATTTTGAAGGACTAACCTGGATTGTACATTATTCCAATTCTTCCTCACAAAAATCAGGAGTTGAAAGAGGGGTGATTGATTTTCTGCGGATCAAAACCGGTACTTGTTTTCGTTTAACTTTGGGAGAGGCGGATATTGTGAGCCGATTGTTGGCAGAAAGTCTTGCTTTCCAGGTAGTTGGCGCAGATGAATTGCTTGTTAAATCAATAGCACCATTTTGAGTAGAGGCTTGTGCCTCAGTCGTTGCAAGAGTTTTTAATGGTTCATCTGATTTTAACTTCTTGTCAGGAATTTCTGACCTCAAGAACTGGATAACATCATCACATGCGTTTAAATTAACGGGTTCTACCGGAATAATTTCATTGCCTATGCACAAAAAAGAAAATATTACATTGACAATTTACAAGAACCCACAAAAATACATATCGTTTAATGTCCAAAGACAAATTACAGGTTTATGGGAACAAGTTGTAAGTGGTCAAATATTTCTGAAGTTTCAATCCTACCTACAACAAAACTTCAGCGAATAAATTAACTAGCATGGATGTAAACAACTCACATTAAATACAATATACTTCAATAATAAAACGTTGGCTTTCAGTAAAAAGAAAAAAAGCTTGATTATGTTGCAAAAGAACTCCGCTTGGAGTCCATCCGGGAGCTACTGCCGGTTCCAAGCCCGGATAAAGGAGGGTCGGGCATGGGCTTAGCGACCCCATCCCATAGAGAACTAACTCGCTAAAAAAACTACAACCAGAAAAAATTATTCAAACCCTTTAAACTCTGCCCTGGGAGTCAGTGTTTTCATTTAGAAGAGTTATGACGCCTCATGATGGAAACCGAGGCCGATGCCCCTTCTGACAACCAGAGCAACCATTTATTTAGGTGCATGGAAGGTTCGTACAATGTGGGACACCGGGAGAGCTTTACAAATTGCTGCAGAAATGAGAAGATGCAGTCTAGAGGTGCTTGGGATCAGTGAAACACATTGGACGCAAGTTGGACAACAACGACTAACTTCAGGAGAGCTCCTGTTATACTCCGGCCATGAAGAAGAAAATGCCCCAAATACACAAGGAGTTGTATTGATGCTGTCCAAACAAGCACAAAATGCACGTATAGGATGGGAATCTCATGGACCAGGGATCATCAAAGCCTCATTCAAAACAAAGAAAGAGGGCATTACAATGAACGTCATCCAATGCTATGCGCCTACCAACGACCACAATGAAGACGCTAAAGATCAATTCTACAATAGGCTGCAGTCAATCATCGAGAAGTGCCCAACAAAGGACCTGACCATTCTGATGGGAGATTTAAATGTCAAGGTTGGAACGGACAACACTAGATATGAAGACATTGTAGTGTTTCATATTTATCACGAGAACGCGACTGGTTTATTGAAAACAATTATCATTATAACCGACTGTACCAGTGTTTTTTTTATTGTGCTTGTGTTTGACTGTTCTAATGACAGCTATATTGTGCTTCCATTCTTTTTCTTACACTTTCATTGTGACTTCGCACGAATTCGGTTACGTTCTGTAACAAAACTTGTATCCTGGCAGGATGTCGGTATCCTTTCGATACCACGAGATCGCCAGCAAATATATCTCGACTTGGTCCATTAACTGTCTTCAGATATTTGGCTTTTCGGGGATTTTATGGATTTATTTGGTTACGTTCAACCTTCGCCTTCTGATTTACTTGGCACGTGTTTCTTGGTAGCGGTGTTCATAGTAGGTCTTGACTCGATACCACGCTACAACATCATGGGACGACACGGACTGGGAGAAAGCAACGAAAATGGTGAGAGGTTTGCAAACCTATGTGCCTTCAATAAACTGGTCATAGGCAGCACCATATTCCCACATAAACGCATACACAAAACTACATGGACTTCACTCTACACAAAACCAAATCGACCATATCTGCATCAACAAAAAGTTCAGGAGGACGATGGAAGACGTGAGAACCAAGAGAGAAGCTGATATAGCATCAGATCATCACTTGCTGGTCGCCAAGATGAAATTGAAACTCAAAAAGCACTGGACAACTAGGCGGACAATATCACAAAAGTTCAATACATCCTTTCTTCGGGATACTGACAAACTCAACGAATTCAAGATAGTCCTCAGCAATAAGTTCCAGGCCTTTCATGATCTACTCAACGGAGAACGAACTACTATGGAGAGCAACTGGAAGGGGATCGAAGAAGCAACCACTTCAACATGTCATGAGGTTCTGGGCCACAAGAAGCACCATCACAAGGAATGGGTCACTGTTGATACACTGGATAAGATTCAAAAAAGGAGGAACAAGAAAGCAGCAATCAGTACCAGCCGAACAAGAGCAGAAAAAGCAAAGGCACAAGCTGAATACACAAAAGTAAACAAACAAGTGAAGAGGAGCATCAGAACCGACAAACGTAAATATGTGGAAGATTTAGCAACGACGGCGGAAAAGGCTGCAAGAGAAGGAAACATGAGACAACTGTGTGACACAACAAAGAAACTGTCTGGAAATCACCGCAAACCAGAACGACCTGTGAAAAGCAAGGAAGGCAAGGTAATCACCGACATTGAGGAACAACGAAACAGGTGGGTAGAACACTTCAAAGAACTCTTGAATCGACCAGCTCCACTGAACCCACCCAACATCGAAGCAGCACCCACGGACCTCCCAATCGATTTTGGCCCACCAACAAGTAAAGAGATAAGCATGGCCATCAGGCAAATCAAGAGTGGCAAAGCAGCAGGACCAGACAACATTCCAGCAGAGGCACTGAAAGCAGACGTAGTGGCAACTGCAAGGATACTCCACATTCTCTTCAATAAGATTTGAGATGAGGAACAAGTACCAACAAACTGGAAAGAAGGACTTCTGATTAAAATAGCGAAGAAAGGCGATCTCAGCAAGAGTAATAACTACAGGGGCATCACTCTTCTCTCAATACCGGGAAAAGTCTTCAACAGGGTATTGTTAAACAGGATGAAGGACTGTGTAGACGCCCAACTTCGTGACCAACAGGCAGGATTCCGTAAGGATAGATCGTGTACAGATCAAATCGCAACTCCACGGATCATTGTGGAACAATCAACTGAATGGAATTCATCACTCTACATCAACTTCATTGACTACGAGAAAGCATTTGATAGCGTGGACAGAACAACACTATGGAAGCATTTTCGACACTACGGCGTGCCTCAGAAGATAGTGAATATCATACAGAATTCCTATGATGGATTAAACTGCAAAATTGTGCATGGAGGACAATTGACAGACTTGTTCGAGGTAAAGACCGGTGTCAGGCAAGGTTGCTTACTCTCACCCTTTCTCTTTGGAAGATGTAGAAACCTGTACATATTTGGGCAGCATCATTGATGAACATGGTGGGTCTGATGCAGATGTGAAGGCGTGGATCGGAAAAGTAGGAGCAGCATATTTACAACTGAAGAACATCTGGATCTCAAAACAACTGTCAACCAACACCAAGGTCAGGATTTTCAATACAAATGTCAAGATAGCTCTACTGTATGAGGCGGAAACTTGGAGAACTACGAAAGCCATCATGTAGAAGATACAGCTGTCTACGCAAAATACTTCGGATCTGTTGGTCAGACACCATCAGCAACAACCTACTGTGGTAGAGAACAAACCAGATCCTAGTGGAGGAAGAAATCAGGAAGAAGCGCTGGAAGTGAATAGGACACACATTGAGGAAAGCACCCAACCGCGTCACAAGACAAGCCTTCACATGAAATCCTCAAGGTTAAAGGAAAAGAGGAAGATGAAAGAACACACTACACCGAGAAATGGAAATAGACATGAGAAAAATGAACAAGAATTGGATGGAACTAGAAAAGAAGGCCCAGGACAGAGTGGGTTGGAGAATGCTGGTCTGCGGCCTATGCCCGATTGGGAGTAACAAGCGTAAGTAAGTATGCTCCCAAAGCAATCTGATGGTGAAGTGCTAAAATATCATCACATCCAAGCTGTTGAACACATAAATATTGGTACAAAGGGGCACCGAATACATATGCTCCACACAAGTCACTTGATTTGTGTGTGGGCTTTATTACCAATTTTGAATTAAGATTTCAATATCTAGTATTAGATGTCTAACTAAAAAATGATTTAGAGGAATATTTGAGGAGTAAATCTGCCAACCATAGGTTAACATCAAAAGACTATTTATACGTACCGACTATAAGACCATTTGAAGAACTGCTTGAATTTTCTGTTTGATTTTGTTCAACATCTAAACTTGTAATATTTTCAAGTGGAATGGAACACTTACCGAGGTTAAAGTCAAAACCACTATCTTGATACTTCTCCCATGGAAGACTGTCAATGTCCTGGAGAGTTGTGGAAGTAAATTGAGGGTCGCTTTCTGAAAAAGGTACGATACAACGGGGTCTGTTCTGAATTTTATGCTGTTTTCTTATCGGCTCCTTCCTGAAAACGACACAAATAACAACCATACATTTCATGTGCAAGGGCAGTTCTTTAGTGTTGTTAAGTGGAAAACAATTTTACCTCAAAGTGCATCAAAACACGTATAAGGATTCCATACTGACATCAAGAAAAAAACTATTTTGACTTTAAGACAACTTATTTTGATGCACATTTGGACATGGTTCTAAGTTGCTTACAGGTTAAAATTAAAAGATTTACAATTGGTGGAACTATGTTAACCACAAAACTTACGGATGAGTTACTGTGTTGATAGGTTGAAGACTTACGTGTATTTTGAAATGGTAGACTCTGGGAGAGACTGATTGTTACCGACTACTTGTTCGGTTTGTGAGTCACAGTTAAGAAGCAGGTCACAAATACTTTCGTCTGTTACACCATCTAACTTTGAAGGTATTACGTCACTCAAGCCAGGAGAATCAGTTAGACAGTAAGGCGTATCTGACCTACTACATGGCCAGTTTAACTCTAAAATAGAATTATTCACATCTGTAACACCGTCTTCCTCAATATTAAGGCCTACAGGAAACTCTTCATCATTTGTGGGATGCATGAAATTATCGTCCACCTTTGGTTTGGAAATAGAAATAAGATTAAATTGTTATAAGTGGAATTTTATAGTTAGAAATGAGAAGGCTAATAGGTGGTAAACAATGACTAGTGAAAAAAATTTCTGATTTCTTTGAGAAACCAACTCAGAATTTACGGGAAGATAGAGAACAAAACTGAGCTACTTTGCACCATGTAAGCAAATATTTTAAAACACCGACCAGGAATCTTGCACCTTTCAACACTCATCAGATTAACAGCCAACGACCTCACGGGCTGATCTCGTATTATGATTTTCCAATCACTGTATCTTTTCTCAATTTACTCTTACATCAGCAAACATTGAAAGTCGATGTATATGGTATAAAATATAGCTACTCATTCATCAGGTACTTGAATATGAGCCACTGTTAGAGTCAATGATATCCGGTTACTCAGGCCAAGTTAGGTGGAGAGGTGTTTGAACCAGGGATTTAGTGGCTGAAATTCGAACAAGTCAATTACTAAGTCACCTCAGTCGACGAAAATCACTAGTCTCACCAACCAATATGCGATCTTTGCTTAATAATTTATATCTAATCTCAGTACTACTTACTCAGTTATTCCATAAAACGCAAACAATGCTTTGAAAAGACATATCAAAATCCTGCAGCTTATGGACAACTGTTTCCATAGGCCATGTTTTACAGTCAGTCAGCCACAAGGTAGGACCAGGCACATATCTCCTTCGCTCCAAGTTGCCACACCTCATTAGCACAACAAGATGAACACCGAATTTATAGTAGTTACTTCAATGGTAGTAATACATAGAAGGAAGATTACATATAAGGATTTAATACATGAATGATGAATTAGTTGGTAGAAAGAAAGGTATAAAGCAATATCTATCTCACGGTTTATGGGAAGACAGAGGATATACACCTACGTCATTGTGATCGATTCTGAGCCATGTCACTCAGTCTCCAACCACTAGTTACGATAATCGCACGGACCACAACCGAGTAGTCTGTATCTGCCAACATGACTTAGACAAGAATTTAGTGACTTTACGGACTGACATTACGTTTTAGTTTGGCTGCCCCAAACTTCCATTCGTCTCCAACACTAGTCAGCATTATGCGTCATGATAATCGGTTGTTAGGTATGCACAATACCTGACCTAACCATCTCAGTTGATGAAGATTCACAACCTCGTCAACTGACTTACCATCATTCCCTAATACCTTGCGTCTAACCTCACTATTACTTACCCGATGATCCCAGCAGACGCGAGCAATATTTCTAAGACATCTGAATCTGTATCGGAGTTTGTTAAGCTCCAGCCTACTAAAGTTGAAAAGACACCAAGCAGTAATCGCGCTCCTTTATTTCACTTCCTATGGTCAAACTAGGGATTGACGCACACCAGTCCTGAAGCAACAAGTTACATTTAGAAGGAAAGAAAGGGAATCTGAATAGGACTGGATTGTTACTTAAGGAAAACAAGACAGCCATAGGTACACTCGAAATCGATGCGTACATATCGTTGTAAAATATTAATTCCTAAAAAGTCAGACGAAGAACGAGTTATATTTTGAATACCTATGACAAAATTACATGAAAATCGGGAAAGTTGGTAGCTTTGACGAACACCGCCTGTTGTTTCCGATCCAGATAACGTTTCTCATGCAAACAATGGCGGTCGATACGTCCCGGTTGACCATAATAAATAGGGATATTCCTTCATAAAGAATTTGGGAAGGAAAAGGGACTAGTGTTGAGGATTTTCAGTAACCTAGAAGCATGATTACAGAACTAAACGAATAGTTGTATGGTCTTGGCCACACGATATTTTGTGGGCATTTTTTGTTGTGCTGATTACTTACTTTTCACATATCACTGCGTCTCAGGAATCAGTAGGGGGGAATGAAGTAGTATTTTGAGATCAAACATTTTACAACTTCAAGCAGTAAAGCTGGAGATGCTAACTATCCGTTTAAACCACCTTACAGACGTACAAACAATAAGGCATGAAGAATAACCTACCTTAGACAAATAGTATCTCGGTTCATCTTGAACATTCGCAGGATTTTTATCAACCAAACTTTGACTATTTACGTCACACTCTTGTGATGAACCAGTTAAAGAGTATACATATTTACCGTCATTACCAAGATTCACTGGAGTAAGCTGAAGATTTGAAGGGAGAATATGAACAACTGATCCAATATCTGAAATCTGGTCAGTAATATTTGCACCGGAACTTGTATTGCCTATTTTTGCAGACAAATTTCGTAAGTCGAATTTAGGGCGCTTATGTGGTCCGAGCAAATCACTAGTTTGGACAAGTTGAAGTGGTTGAACAGAGTTTCTTTCAATTTGGAAACCTAAAGGTATGTTTAGGATAATACACCTATCATTAGAAATCACGATATTGTTTCCGTAATGGACAATTTTTGTATCAAGTTTAATAAAATTCTATGTCCAATTTTAATGATTAATTCACAACCAGGTATTAATAATACGTTAATGGACCTTATAATATTAATTCACATGGGTCATGAACATACATGGTCAAATTGCGGAAATTTCACTTGAGGAATTGAATTCCCCGTCGGCTTTCCTATAGGTTTGGACAATCAGTAATAAAGACCAGAATGAACGAACTTTTGACATTAAAACCAGATAACACATTAGTTAAGTTAATTTTTAACGAAAAACTATCATTCCTGATAACCGTAGGCGATTGAGCAGAACTTAGATAATTTTGCATTTGTAACACCATCCTTAAATCATGCTGTTCCTTGTTTGGCACGAGAAGTACACATTTCGACTGAATGTTAGTTTTTACTATATCCGTGAACTGGGTACACAAGACGTACATAAGCTGAAACATATAAATCAGTGGTGATACAGATGACTACTGCCTAAACGATGAAAATAAACTGCTATTGAGGTTCGCGTCATAAATAAATCATCATACAATTTACTATCAGGAATTGATGGGTTTTATTGCATTGAAGGACGCATTATAACAGCCTAAAACTGTCACAACACTAATCAGGACAATGATAGCAGTATTGATAAATCAGCATTTGACTACCAAATCGCTAAACAACCTTCCCCCGTTTTATGTAATACTACTTTAAGATATATTTTAATAAAATGAAGGGAAAATCACTTTCGTAACTTAACCGACGCTATCTCATGGGAATTTTATTCCTAGCTTAGCAACCCATGTAGACCATGGGACGTGGGGTGATGGATTAGTGGTTAAAGTACTCGGCTTTTAGATAATAGGTCCTAAGTTTGAGCCACTACATCACGTACTTAGACTCTAGAAGTTAGGTAGAATTATACTTAAAGTCCTGTATACGAAGATGCACTTGGTAATTGAGTTACGTAAAACCCGAGTATGGCATCACCTAAGTAGTGAAAGCCAAGTAGACGCATTAATGTAGATGAGGTCGTAACTAAACTAAAATTACCCATGGTACTCTCAGTTAACTGTGATTGATTCTTACTTAGTAACCGAGTGTGGGTTCATGTACTACGCTGGACTGAGATTCAGTTAAAATATCAGACTTCTTAAGCCAAAATAAAGACAGATTTATGACTTCATAAATAAAACACTTTTAGATGGTTGACTCATATATTTGAAAACAGTGAGTGCTAAAAGAAACGTTTAATGAACTTATGATTGAAACAGCCAACATGGATTATGATGTCTGGGTTTTCTGCAAAAAGAGTAAGTTACTTACCTTATCAGGTTAATGTAGTTAGGATGCTACTACCAAATTCATGTATACATGTTTTGTTAAAATGTACAGCAGGTAGGACTGCTATAAACCCGTTTACTTTATTGTTCGAAATAAACCGGATGCTTAGGGTATCAACCACTTTGTAAGTCACTGAAGAATTTGTAAGCGTCTTTCTGACAGAGGTCAAAAGCTAAGTCATATACGTACCAAACACCTGTCCCAATTTTGGTTGTTAGTGAAAGATAACACGGTGTATATCACAGTGCATATAGATATCACGAAATCTGTATTGTATGTAGGCCAAGAAAACAAATAAAACCATTCTATAGAAAATAATCACCTTGAAGTAGATCAACAATAAATCTTAACAACTTCCTGATTTTCCAACGATATCTATGTGACCTTCCAAATATTATGAATTCCACAGAACAGCAAGATTAGTGACATGGTTAACTGGTGATAAGAAATTGGTAAGCTTATTGTTTGCACAAAACCTTAAGTGCTAAACAAGCGAAATACTACATTTATCAACAGACTGGACGAAGATAAATTAAGTTAAAGCATACAAGTGTTGGAAGGGTAGATAATTGCATAACGACATTATAGTACCAAAATTTCCTACTCATATAACGGCAAAAGAAACATACCTTTTCGAAGATCCAGCTTTAGTTCTTTGTTTTGAAATCTTGAACCGGATGGAGTAATAGAAGGAAGAGCTTTACGTTTTGTCTGTCCGATGCACACGCTTGCAGACCTCCCTTCCTTTGCAAATGCTGACAGGAATGTGAAGAGCTAAAATGTTTCGGTTAACAATTAGATATCTTACTGTCTGAATAAGTTGGGATTGCTTGTCGTGATGTTCTCGTAAATCAGAAAGTTCACGATACAAAAGCTGATTTTCCGACTTTAACACACTAATTTGTTGACTTAAAGCCTCCTGATTACAACGCAAGTGCCGTACAGTCTCTGCCAATCTTAAGAAGTCTGTGGCAGTTATTGGTCTTTGGGGTGATACACTTATGGAACCATTTAAACCCGAATTAGTTTGAACATAAGGTACTTTCACACCAAAACTTTGATTTCTTGATCCCAGTATTGGCGAGAACATGTTTGAGGTCCGCCTCTGAATTTTGGATAGCAAAATATCTTTATTGCGGATGAAGTAAGGATGACTGAATTCCATGTCTTCAGTGTCAGATTTTAAAGGAAGAGACGGATCCACACGATTTATTTTTCTAAAACCATCTACAAAGAAACTGAGAGAAGATAATCACATACACATATTTAACTGCCTTATGAAACTAGATAAATTGTTGTGTTTGAAATAAAGGGGTAGTAATTCTTTGGCTAAGCGGTTTCCATCACGTATGTGAAAGCTTGTCCCGTGCTGAACGAAGTTATTAATTAAACCTAATCTTACCGGATCCCAATATATGAGATCGTTTGTTTCCTCATCATCCACCAGTAACTTTAGTTTAGTCAGAAACGCAGGAATAGACTGTACAGGAGGTCCAGATGTGAAACCATACATGGCCTACAAACATGGAGAAGTTTAATATTCCCTCACTGACAGTCAGCCAATCAAAAGCTTTGTGTTGGTACAACACAATAATTCAAATCAGTTTCAGTTTGGGCGAGACAGGAGGCTGAATTGCATGTATCAGTCCTGGTAATGGCGTTCTTTCAGTTAATCCAACGCCGTTTCCAATGCGTTGACGGATGAAACTCCAACCAATTGTTGATGCAAAAAGTTCAATTCTTTGATTATTCGATGGGAAAGTCGATAGTCAGATGACAAGTAATCCGTTCTGGGCTTGTGAACGTCTCAATTGTCCTCGCAAATTCTTTTTTAAAGACAAGGAAAATCATGGCATACCAGATGCAAATTTACCATCAAATAGTTTAACAACTGTGATCATATCACTCCTGATACAACAAAAGAAAATGGTCTAATTAAGTCAGTTTCTCGTCATACGGGGGCTTTATGATTGCAAAATCAACTTAATTGAGGTTCTCCAAATCTTTTCCGACAGTTTACTATCATTTTTAGCCAGGTTCTGGATGCATATATTTATTACTCTAGTTTAAGATGAACGAACACCGTATACCGTGTCAAAGACTTCATAGTAAAGGCTCAGAGTAATGACCAGAGGATCCTAAGACCTGTGGCAGTCAATGCGCGGGAGATTACAGTGTGTTTTGAGTCTTGGATAACGTGGATTCTTAGGTCTGTACCTTGATGACTGTAGCGATAAATAAATCCCCAAAATCAATAGCTCTGTAAGTCTTCGACATTTGGTGCTGACCACATTCGTTTTAGTGGACTCACCCGGCCCAAGACGCTCGGCCACGCATACGAACAAGATAACAAGTGATCCTGCTGTGCTCAACTTCTCCTGCAACCGCTAGCCAACTTAGATCAGTCACTTCTCGATAAATTGATAACCTGTCGAATATACCTTCGAAACTCTTCGCTTTTGACTTCATTGGGGTGGTATGTTTTGATTATATTAGATGTTTGTAACGGAAAGAGAACGATGAAAATCCCTCCCCAGCTATCTTGTTGGACAGTACCGTCATTTATTTGTTTCTTCTTCCTGTCGTGTATTTTAACCTTTGTTCAGGTCTCGCTTAACCACATTTTTTGTTCTTCAGTCTCCCTCGCCTGAGCTTTTATTACGTGATTTTGGTAAAAGACTTATCTTTTGTTGCCTAATTTTTATTGCATGTTGTGTTTGACTAAGCTCAAGGTCACGGCGTGGTTCAGTGTGTGACAGATAACCTTTTGACTGTCTCCTGGGGAGGATTGCTAGAATCCCTGCAGGTAGATATTTGATCCCATCTTGTTGGGATTATTTTTATTGATTATCACGTACCAAACCCTTTAGTATTAACTGCTTCTTTTATTATTTAGTGCGCTACTTTGCGTTAGAGAAACCTTTGACTGTATTTTTTATATAACTTGTTCTATTTCCTAAGTTAGAAACGTCTAAATTGAGCACACGATTTGTGTTTTGATATAATTTAACGCGAGTGTCTCAAAAATACTTGGTAAACTATACAGAAGGTCGTAGTCTGGCCTATCCGAATACATTTATGTTCGTCAGTCCTGCGTTCAAACCGAATACTGGCAGTTCGGTCGTTACAATGTTACTGGTTAAGGTGTTGTCAAACTCCACACACTTGTGACATCTTCACGACCAATATGCATAATAATGAGCTCGGGAGCATTTGTCGGCAAATTCCAAGTCGTAGACCATTCAAATTATTTCCACGAGTCATTCATAAGGTTTAAATCGCCATCTTCATTTTTTATCGCTCACCGTATCATTAGATCATGGCAAAACCGATGATGATAGGAGACTACGAAAGTCACTTACATACAGGAGGAGTAGAAGTAGTCCTAGAACTGTACCCTAAGGCACCTTGATAAGCAAAGTTTACAGGCCTAAAGATGCCATAGTTATTTGAACTTTGAAAACGCCCTTGAGTGTTAACCATTTTGGATCATAGGATGTCATCCCAGTAAAATCGAAAGTCAGGGATGAAGGGGCTCAATGGTACATTCGGAAAGCAATCGGTACATCGAAAAGAGTTTGATCTAAGCAGGCTAGTAGTTGCAAGGGATTGGTAGTACAGCGTACCCACTAGGTCTCTGGTGTGAATGGGTGACTGAGCTCCTTCAGCTGGGGTGTGTCCAGTAGGACTAATGGGGTCAGCACCGACGTTGAGGACTTGAAAACTTATTTACTTTGAAAATTCATCTACCTCTGCAGGTTAAAATTCTAGTAGCTTACTCGCACTCTTTGTTGACACTCAGGAAGTTTTGATGAACATAAGTAAGTTTCCCCCAATCCTAATAAATTAAATGACGGTTTGTTGTGTGGAGCTTTTCCAAAGGCCCTTCTTAAATCAATGAAAGCCACATCTATAAGTGGCTCTTGATCTTTTAGAGCACATCAACTTTGATAGGTTTGATAGGTTTATGAGGCATGAGCAACTTGTTTTAAAGCCATGCTGCTAAAAAAAATTTTGGCATAGATATTTAGACAACTCCTTTTCAATACTATTTTCTAGAGTCTCGACAGGCACTCTGCTTGAGCATGTGGGCTGGTGGTTCTCGGGTTCATGATTCATACCTGTTTTCAAGATAGGACATCGTATGACGTTCTTCTACGCCTTTGATAATCACCTTAGGTTACAGATAAAATAAAACATATGCTGAAGGGACTTGTGACACCATTCTCGTAATGAGTAAATACGGGACCTAGTAATGATGACTTGAACATCAGGTCGTACATAATTACTGTTTTTACATGCTACACCAGGGCACGTGCAATAACCACGTCAACTAGCTTCCGTTTGAAAGAATTTTTATGGTCTATGAACCCTAGGATTAAACATCGACAACACGATGATCAAGTGTTAAGTCCATCTAGCAGGATCTCATTCACCTCACAGGTTAAACTGGGGCAAATCAAACCAATCGGCAGCTCTTGGTCGTTGGATTTCACGCGGCAAATGACTAATTCGCACATTCCGTTTCCATGGAATTTGTTATTGATAATTGTAAGGGAGGCAGTATTTATAATGGATAAGGCTACTTCTTCATGTTTCTGGATTCTGTTGACCCTCAATGGTGTGAAAAATTTAAAGTCAAGTACGATGTTACCTATAGACTGAGTTAAGCAACTTTCACTGACGAGGACTACCTCCGACCTGATCAAATCTGTCTGCATACTTACCTTCGATTGCTCGGTGAGAATGCCACGAAGATTTGTGCAACAGGTTCGGAGACCATTTAAGCAGATTCGTGCTGGATCCAAATCGACTTCGGTATCATTCTCTGCCTAAACCTAACCACCCGAAAATCTACAATATTAGGGTCCTTTTCGTCATTATCTGGTCATAGTTTTAGTTCGTTTTTAGATTCTCGTTGTCTCATCTGATCAGCGAGTGACAAGTATTTAAGGACAGGAACTCCTGACCCCTTTAGTCAACTGTCGTAAACGGAATAGAAGCTTTCTGTTAACGAGCTTCTGTGTCTGGTAGTAGTAGATCACCGATGCCTCCATGTAGTGAGTTAAGTATACGAAACAAGGAGTAATCGACGTTCAGCTAATTTGGTGGATACTACCGTTTCGCATCCTTGGGAATACTTCACGTATCCTCTTGAAGGACTTCAGAGACGTTGCTTAAATCACATCATTTGGTAGTGGATTCCAAGACTTGACTACTTGCAGCCAGTTTATGGTGTGCTTTCTATCCACTCTTCTGTCCTATGCCTTTGAATTCCGTATATTTCCGCTGCGGTTCTTGTTGAAACCAAGCTTAAACAAGTCTTCTAGAGGATACTCTGTGGTCTTTAGGGTGTTGCATGTCATCTAAATACCCTTCTTATTCCCCTATATTCTAAAAGGTAACGATTTAATTATTCAAGGCGTTTCACGGAAGGTTTGGGCTTCAGCCGACGAACTGATTTCATTATTCGCCTTTAGATATGATCCAGAGTATTATTTTCCCTTCGGAGTGAGGGAGAAATACATGTTTCACTCAGCTTTTGAACCTGTTTATTTATATCTTTGACCTAGGATATTTCAGTTTCACTCTGTTTCTTGGTTTGGTATTTTGGAAGCTTTGTTTCTGGAAACCTGAAAGTTGAATGATTGTTTTTTAATTGTTATAATTATTGTTAGAACAATATATATGGGTTAATTACTGATAATTTGCGAATAAACTTTGGAGCCTGAATTGAAATTTGATTCGATTGTTATTTAGGGTAGATTAACCGACCGAACGACAGCAAAGACTTGGGCGTAACACTACTATACTCGAAATGGGGTCGAATAAAATTGCTAAACTGGTCAAAAATGAACTTCAAAGTTACTGATGCATGGTGCTTTACAGTTGAATTCTTTCTGCAGTTGGCATGAAGTGTTAGATCACAGGATATTAAAATACCTAGATATCTTTTAAATGATGACACTCCCAGAGGGTAATCAAATAGGTGTTATGTGTAGGTTTAACGTATCTTGGATGGGTTGCTTTACATTTGGAAGAACCAAAAGAAAGATTTTTACCACTCACACAAATTTGGAGTCAAATGGTATCCCCCCAAATTGTCATGTCATCGTTCCGGTTACAAGTTTCGCCCTAGAGATTAGTACCACCAGTAAAAGTGATATCTTAAAGAATGCTCGCCAAGGAAGGTCAATAAAAAGAGAGGTCCTAATAATGACTTCTGGAGAACACCACCAGAACATTGCGTAACCTGAGGTAGAAATTTGTCCTGACTTTAAAAAGACAATTATATTGACGAGACTTAAGCCAGTCTACTAGCAATTACTTCATACCTGTGAACTTGAGCTTATTGATAACGCATGCATGATCGACTATGCCACGAGCTTTTATGGAATCTGGGTACATTACGTCCATCTTACTCTTACTATAAGTGATGGTGGTCCATCTATTAGTTTCAGACATCAGATCCGTTACACAAATTGTGACCTTCCGGAAACCATTCTGCTGGAGTGAAAAGAACTTAGTACCGGTTAGATAATCCCGTGGAACTTCTTAAACCAGGTGTTTTCAAACTTTTGTGGGGTTCAAATAGGTTACCGACTAGCATCCGCAAGGATCGTTGGGTCGACCATTTTTCAGGATTGGGTTGTGTCAGACTCCATTTGTATGAAACCACACCTTGTTTT